AAAGTCTTCTGGAAATAGAGCGCAATATTGAAAACATGACTTGACTTGGTCTTCTCCGAGGCTATCGTAGCTATACATCCAAACTGGGAAAATCTGCAGCAGAAGAAGCAAGAGTGTCAATTGCTTGATCCCATTCTTCTACCGTCCTCTTGCATGCCATGTTTTTGCCGATGATATTCAGCGCCAATGGTAACTTGACACGCGAGCTCAAGAATATCTGGATGGCTTTCTAATGTGATTTTCCCAACTTTAGAACGAAACAAATCCCAAGCTTCGTTGGATTCCAAACATTTTACTTCCATGGGGTCATCAACCCCATACTTCCCTAGAACGACAATCGTCGGTTGTAGCTGTCTTTCCTCTCCCACAGCTCTTGTAGATGGATGAGCCACCTCTTCGAAAACCCCTTTAGACTTTAAATCTTCAACCATATTCAACATCAAGAAAACCTTTTTTCCGTAGCGATAACTCACTCAATCTTAAGTTATTCGAGCTAGCGCCGTAAAAACACAGTTCAATGATTCTAGTACTATCTAGTTCATTGTATTGGGATTCCATAGTCTCTACTCTCTTAAGCCATACCTTGATTTGATGAAGCCTTTGTAGACCTCTTTCCTCTGCTCGCACCGCCTTGAGATCTTCCATGGCTATATCTAGAGCTTTGAGATTCTCCTTGAGATTTTGAATATATTTGAGTTTGCTGAAAAACAAGCTACCGAGACGGTTCAACATTTGATCGCATGATAGTTGGATAGAGACACAACCACCCATCTTGTAGTTAACACACAAAGAGAGATTCACTATGCAAACGAGGAAGCTTGATCTCGATTTGCATATTTGTAAATGAGATCAGAAAAGATTAGGTAGAAAAAGAAAAGAAATAACTCTAGAGGCTGGAATTTTTTTGTTTTAATGAGTCAAAGTCTTGTTTTTGTATCGTCATTATGCATGGTCGCATCATATTTTTATGTAATTTAGCAAGATTCGCAACTACAGTGGTTATGTCATTTTCATTGCTACTAAACAATGAGAAAATAGCCAACGAAAAAAATCTTTAAATTTTACGCCCAATAAACACGACGAATCATTAGCTTTGGATTTTAGTATCGTTGCATAATTGAAAAATGTTGAGTCAATTGGCACTTTGGCAGCATGTTTCTTTGCTTACATTTTCCCATAATTGTACACATTGTAATATCATCTCTAATCGTGGTAACTCAAAAAGGCCTACATGAAGGTAAGAACCGGTGTCGTGTGGCTTCGTCCTTCCATTCGATCCCTTGTATCCATTCTTCCCCTCTGTATTGTATGTCAAGTTCTTCAACCTTGAACACGCTTTTAAAATGCAATGGAAGCTTTCTCAGCTTTGAACAATCCCCGTCTATGTGGAGACGTCTCAGACGTTGAAAAGGCAGAGCTTTCCAGTAGATGCTCTTCAGCTCAGGCAGATCATGCAAGTTAAGGAGTTCAAGTTTCTGGAAAGGAATAATATTACTTATGGGATACATCTTAATAGAAAGGTGTTGCATACATCTCCCCACTAGTACTTTCTTTGAATTTGTTAAGAACACAACACATTGTTCTACTATTGAAACTTAAGAACACAAAGTTGTTCTTAACCAATCATAATCTTAAATTAATAATAAAATATTATTTAAGAACACAAAACATGTATTATTTACCATTGTACATGGTAGTAGAGAAAAAAACTTTGCATTAGTGCATGACTCCAAAGATGCATTATTGAGCCTTCCCCTTCGGAAATGGTCCCCACATATTTATGTATAATTGCATATAGTAGTGGAGAGTAGAGACTCTTCAGAAAAGAGTAATACCTTTTCACTGCTACTCTTCTTTCACAGTCATGGCTTTCTCTGGAAATGAGACCAACTCTTTTATTTGCTTCATTGATACGTAGGTCCTGTCATAGATCCAAAAACAAGTAAAATTAGCATAGACAGAAAAAATCACCCTCTGATTATTTACTAATAAGCATTGCTCCATCTGAAACTGACTATGAATAATAATCGAGATGATTACCAAAAAGTCACAAAAACTCAGTTTTAAATACAAAAATATCACAAACACATACAAAAATGTCAAATGAGAGAGAGAGATGTACCTTTAGGCAGTAGCTTGGTCCTCCCATGGAATACTTTAGATCCAGTATCCATCATTGCATGTGACAATTCCCTGCTCTTTCTCAGTCTCCGTTAAACTCTGAAGCTCAAGGGCAGTAAGGTTAGGAGCAAATCCTTAATTAAGACCATTGCAGCTACTTATACACACACTTGACAGATAAGGAAAGCTTGCGATTCTCAGGCTTCTGCTGCATCAAATGATGAAGTCAATGAGACCACCCATAGTGATGTATGACATGATTCCATTAAGATTATGAAGTCAATGAGACATGACTTAAGATGCTCACCATTAAGAACCTGAAGAATTTCAGCTTCAGTTCCTTCAATCTATATGGCAGATGATGAAGTAAAAACGCCTATGCCGTGATTCCATTCTTGGACTATTGTTTTGGATGCCTTTGTCTGGCCGCTAATGGTTGACCATGACAATTTTTAGCAACTTCTCTCCCATATCCACTAAAGACATCTGGTAGTTTACGCACTCCAACACCGCTGTGAACAATACATATTTCTTTATGCTCTCCAAAATCAGATGTTATCCATCTCGTGAACCACACCATGCACTTTTACTTGTGTTTTGTTGTTAATGGAGTCCTCCGACAATAAACATGCACGGATAAGGGTACCAATAATATCGTAAACCTCGTCTTGAGCTCCTTCTCTATCTCTATTATCATCAATCAATCCCTCACATATCCAGTAGTCTATTAATATATCTTTACCTATCTCAAAATCTTTTTGAAATAAAGTGCAATACAAGAAACATGACCTGACCTGCTCTCTCTTTAAATGATCTTAGCTATACTTCAAAACTGGAAGAATCTGGTCTTCCATGCCAGGAAAATCTGTAGCAGATGAACTCAAAACAACAATTGCATGACACCATTCTTGCACCAACCTCTTGCTTATCATGGCCTCACCAATGACGTTTAGAGCAAGTGGTAGACCACAACATTTTCCAGCAACCGTTCTTGCTAGCTCGGGTATGTCAGGGTGGCTTTCTAATGTGAAACAAATACAATTCAGTCAACACTGGAAATCAAAAGAGAAACAGAGTAGTGGTAGGAGAAAAAGAAGACCAACAACAAAGAAAAAGACCAATAAGACGTATTTTGCCTGAAGATTTAGGATACTTTCTTGCGTGATGTAATGGAGCTATTATGCCAACTTGAAGTAAGGTAAGAAACGTTGTTTCGCGGTTATTTTCACTGTGTTGCTTATGACTAGTTCTTCAATATTGACGGCACTTTTAGAATTCAAAGGAAGCTTTTTCAGGTCTATCTTGATGGAAAAATCGCGTAATCCTGAACTTAAACCAGCATCTATTTAACAAAATCATCACACCCTTGTATTATATATCACATGAGAGAGGTTTGAGAAGCATGGACTTGGTAGACTTTTGTTCCATGTTGTCTTCTCTTGTTTCTCTATCCTTAGAAAATGCAGTAATCTTGATCTCAGGTAGTGGATTTAACTAACTATCGAGAGACAATTACACTCTCCCACAAGAAAACGAATCACTTGAACAACAGAAAAAAAGAAGAAGAAAAAGCTCCAGAAAATTCTTCACAGAGGCAATTCATCAAACAAGTAGTGTGCACTCGGTTCCACAAACTTACTCCAACCCGAGCCAACTCGGACTCGGTGCAGTTTTTAAAAATATTTACATACAAAATTCAAAGAATAGTAATTCAAAACCCAAACGCAAAAGAAACAGAGGTAGAAGAAACAAAGAAGGCCGATGCAATTTCAGGATAAAGAGAGAAACAGAATACTATTTTGGGTCATGATGATACTCATATTCCTCTTACATGAAGGTAAGAAACGTTGTTGTGTGTCTTCGTCCTCCCATTCAATCCCTTTTATCCATTCTTCCTCTCTGTATACGATGACAAATTCTTCCACCTTGAAAACACTTTTAGAATCCAATGGAAGCTTTCTCAGCTTCTCAAAATTGTAAGATATGTGGAGACGTTGAAAAGGCAGAGCATTCCAATATATGCTCTTCAGCTCTGGCAAAGTAAACAATATTAGCACTTCTAGTTTCTGGAAAGGAATAATATTATTACACGTCTTCTTTTCTGAAACACTCGCAGCTTTCTCCTTGCTTATTATCTCCTCTACTTGCTCTAACCCCCAAAGACTAAGATGAGTAAGGTTTGGAGCGAACAGCAGCCACGTCAAATCCTTTAAACCGTGACACCTTTCTATTTTCACATTAGAGAGGTTTGAGAAGCATGGACTTGTCAGACTCTATCTTTATCTCCCTCGTTCCACAATCCGATATCCAGATTTTACACAGATTATCCATAGCTGGCAAAACTAATACTACGACTGATTCCTCCCCACGCTCCTCAATAGAAACTTGTTGAATACATCTCATAATTCTGGGATCATATAACAATAGCTCCCCAGCCAAACTTGATGAGATATTTATGCTTATGTATTCTAAATGTTCTAACAGCTGGAGCTCCTTCATTAGGCTCATATCTAGCCACACTTTGGACTCTCGTAGTTTCAATGTCCTCGAACTTGATAAGTTTGATATCCCATCTAAACTATCAAGTTCCCTCGTCTTCTCCAAATTCAGATGTATTAGCATTTTCAACTCTTGTAAACCAACAGGAAGTCAATTTATCTTTGTATGTGACAAGTTGAGATATCTCAGAGAAGCCAAACCTGATATTTGCTCTGGCAATCCACAGAGACTTTCATTCCATGATAAATCCAAAACGAGTAGCCTAGGCATAGACCGAAAGAATTCATCTGAGATTTGCAAGTATCTGTTTCCGGTAAGGAGGAGAGTTGTAAGTTCAGGACAGTCAGGGCTCTCAGATACCTTTTGTATCTTATTTTACATCAAAGACTGTGGTTTGTTGTGGAACGAGAAGCATTCTTGGTGCAGAGGTGTGTGAGCGTTACTATTGCTGGTTGAAATCCTGATCTTAGAGGAACAAGTGAAGTCACTCTCATATGTTGCGCATTTCTGTTCTGAGGCCGATTCAGTGTCATCCTAAACATTTCTCCATCCAAAACCTCATTAACCATAGAGGCTGCAATCAACAACACAAGATTAATATGAGTATAGCTTCCATGTATTTTCATGTTAAGGGATGATGTTATCAAACTTAGGTAAAATGATTGATGTTTTTACCTGCTAAAGGATTAAGCTTGGTGAAGTGGAACAAGTCATCAGCTGAGCAACCAAAGAGAACAGTCGCAGCTCTATCAAAGCAGACCACAGTTTTGACTGATGTGTCTGTTGCGATACTCATCTGCTCGATTCATACAAAAGACACAACAGATTCAGGAAAAAAAAACACACAAATTTGAAGTTGACAGATTCACCAAAACTGATTCTTGACATTTGATAGAATCCCTAATTGGCAAAGCTCCCTAATTAGTGAATCTAGAATTCCTAAAGATGATAAGCAATCAGAAAGAAGAAGGGTTTCGTACGAGAATCCGGTAGAGCAATTTGGGTTGTTTTGATTTACAGAATTTGCACAACGAAGACGAAGAAGAGAAAACGCCATTCTTATCTCCAGGAAGCACTCTCTCGCAACGAGAACAAACTCTGTAGCAGTAATCGTTCAGGTCGACGGTAAGCAACGAGCAGACAACAGTTTCCATTTTCAAAGTTTCCTCCTCGGGAACATTTTGGGCCCAGTTACAGAAGTAAAGACCAAACTTTATATGTCTTTATCACCTCTCATCACTAGACAAAACAGAGAGAAAGAGAATCAAAGAGCAAAACACCATAAGCTAATTCGAATTAAGTAACAATTATCAGCGATAAATGAAAAGTTAAGACAGAGAACAATATTTGATTTTGAAATCATTCTGTCTCCCAAAAAAAAAAAGCAACAGTCTTTTCTTCACTAAACCCTAAGAAATTTTAACACAAACACATTCGATCCAAATCAAATTGATCGGATTTAAGACTAAAGGAGAAGCTTGTGTTATGAGTACCCAAAAATGTGAAAACAATGGAGGTGAAAGTAAACT